TTCCTTCCGGCCCCTTCCGCTCACGCCGCTGGCCGGGGGCCCCGCGGGTGCCGCGGCCGTGCGGTCACTGCTGTACCCGGTATCGCCCGTCACTGCTGTACCCGGGATCGCCCGTCACTGCTGTACCGGTATCGCCCGTCACTGCTGTACCGGTATCACCCGTCACTGCCGTGCCCGGTATTGCCCGTCACTGCTGTACCCGGTATCGCCCGTCACTGCTGTACCCGGTATCGCCCGTCACTGCTGTACCGGTATTGCCCGTCACTGCTGTACCCGGTATCGCCCGTCACTGCTGTGCCCGGTATCGCCCGTCACTGCTGTACCGGTATCGCCCGTCACTGCTGTACCGGGATCACCCGTCACTGCTGTACCGGTATCGCCCGTCACTGCTGTACCGGTATCGCCCGTCACTGCTGTACCGGTATCGCCCGTCACTGCTGTACCGGTATTGCCCGTCACTGCCGTGCCCGGGATCGCCCGTGTTTGAGAATTGCCCAGCGCTGAAGCCCGCTCAAAGCCTGCCGGGGGAGGCGGGGAAAGGCTGGCTCTGCAGCATCCGCAGGACTTGCTCGGAGTTTCTAGACGTGTGCTCACCTTCTTTTGTTAATGGTTTTTAGCATCTGTCTCGGGTCATCTGTAATTCCGTGTAAAATCCATCTACAAACGGCTTGAAAACGAAGTGGGAAAACCTCTGCAGAGGCAAATAAGCGTTTCTTCCTTAGTCCAGATCATGACAGAATCCTGGTACCACTGTAAGATTAGCTGAAGCAAAGTTGGAATATAATTTATAGTCTGCAACTATTTCTAGATGTCTCCTTCTCATCATCTGCCTCCCTCAACAAAGGCTAAGAACTATTAAAATAATTATTAAAATAGTGAAATAATCTTTCCCTATTTTTGCAGTTAAGACTTTTGAATGGCAATGAAATGGAAAACACAGAAGCCATTCAGAAGCCATTCAGATATCTCATTGCAGTTTCTGTGGGGAATTCTGTTGGATGAATATCTGACAAAAATGCTTTGGAGGTTTGTTCTCCTTTTATCTGGCTCTTGTCAAAGAGCAGAACATTATTTTACTTCCCATGGTGATACACTGGCACATAAATTATTACTGCAGTGTCTCTCTCTGCTGGCATGTTCCTCACTGCTATGGAGTGCTAAGCAGGCAAAGCAGATTATATTTGTCACAAGATCTCACCAGTCTGCAGCAAGAGGCACTTATTGGTACACAGGCTTAGGATAATTAGAGGGGTAGCTAAAAAGCTGCATTACATGGGACTTTTAAACACAAAGGTACACTATGTGAGAAATGGAGCTGCTGCAATTGCTTTTCTAAGAAACGCTGACACCTCATTTCACATATGAATAGTATTTGGGCAAAGCAGGAATATCTCGTGGCTGCAGAAGGCCTGTGGCTACAGATGTTATAACGTGGGTGATAATGAAATGTTTAGGGGGCTGCAGTTTCTGTGCTGCACACAAGAGGGCTTCGGCAGCAAATTCCTGAGATGTGTCTGTTTTAAGGATGCACCTCAGTTACATTTCCTGTCTTCCTCACAGCCATGTGACCTAGGAATTTGTTTAAATTTTCCTCACATGCCACACAACTTCACCAAGGCTTAACTGCTTCTTTGAAATGATCAGTTGGGCCAGTTTCATCCAATGATCAAGTCCCATGAAGTTGGCTGTGTTGGTTGCTTCAGGAGTGTTCCTCCTGTAATCCCCCTTCGAATTCAATGTCATGTGTTGACACTCCATGGGGCTTCCTTGGCAGATCAGGTAATGCTGAGTAAGAGTCAGGACACTGAATGTCTTGTAGTCTCCTGGCAGAGATAAATTGTGACTGGTCTTGGACTGTCCTTTTTTAAATTCATTGCAGGTTGTGACTCTTCAGACTGGATGTGTACAAGTGCATGATGAAAAGATTAGATCTGAGATGGAATAGCCAAAACTCAGATCAACCAGTCAATAGTTAGTAATTTCCAAGGGCAGCGAATCTGCAAATTGTAATTGTATATATTGTCTAACAGCTTTTCTCTTTTGAACCACAGGGGAAGTAGTTGTGGTAAGTCTAAAAGAACAATAAACTCCAGAATCCCATTAGCTTTACTGGAAGGCTGAATGATAAAACTGTTTGAATTTAATTCTTCAGTCCACAAGAAGAACAAAAAACAAAACAAACAAAAAACCCCACAAAACCAAAAAAACAAACACAAAAAAAGGAGAAAAAAGTGGAATTTCCTGGAAAAGGATTGTGAATGAAATAAGGTGTGTTGATTGCGCTTGTTGCCATGGCAGCAATTAATTACAGTCATTGGTGCACAATTGCACTGGCTGGCTTTCCTACAGTCAGGTGGGTAAACATTGTGGGAGTCCCTTCTTTCTTCAATTTACAAATTATCTACTTATAGTAATGCAGTCACCTCTTCACAAACACAGACAGGGCAGAGGAAATGAAATAAACACTGGGGAAAATTGAGGAATTCAGTGGGCTTTGCTGCACCTGAAGAGCACAGGTTCAGAACAGTTGAGAAGGAGCCACCCTAGAGATGCATTTTACCTGGGATAAGTCCTGGGAAGCAAAGCTGATGATTCCCAGAGAACAATGCCCTCTGAATCCTCCAGCACCCAGGTAACCCTGCAAGCAGAACAGAGAGGGGAAAAGTTACTTACAAGCTTTGCCATGCTCAGGCTGGAATTTTGCTACATCACACTCTGGGGACTAATAACTGACTGCAGCTTTGAGACTATATTCTGAATTATCTTTGTTATTCTGAGCAGCAGATTGACATTGGCAGATGCAACCAACACCTAGTCTATGCAAAGCAAAGTGTTCCTTCTCCATAAAGCTAAGTCTATGTTAAAATTTTGACTCTTTTATGCTAAAGATCCTAGTTTAGCATTCAAAGACCTCAGGAATTTGAAACTGTGTCTCTAGAGAAACTAATTTGCACTACTGTTTTTTTCCTTTCATTATAAGCATTTCCCAATGAATACATGAAATTGTTTTGGTAACTGTGTTTTTATTTTTCTGACTTTGCAGGAGTTATTTGCTCCCCAGCATGGACATGAATGCCTAAAAAATTATGGTGATGTGGAAATGAAACCTTTATGTAGAGTTAATTTACTCTTGATATAAATGTTTGTCATCAGAGTGTGGTCAAAAAAGGCTCTAACTTCGGTTTACGGTAAAGTTAGTCTAGACAGAGTCCACAAGGATCTCTTGATGCTAAGCACATCTTGATGGCTAAAATAGATTATTTAATAATGTTTCTAAAAATAAGCACATGTACAAACTTCGTGGGCCCCAAGATTAGAACAAAAACTCCCCAAGACACAGAGTATCATTGATGAGCATCTCGTACCTGTTTAACAGCTTGTACCCAACTGGGCTAAGTGTTCCTGCAGTTGTACACTCTTTGCTTTCCCTTGGATTTAACTGGGAGATGGCAGTGGCAGATCATTGCAGGATGATTCAGTTGTGTGAGTACCTCATCAGACTTATGAGAACTGATAAAACTTCTTTCAAAGACATGGTATTTGTGTGGCTAATTTAAACTTTCAAGTAACTGCAAATGTATCTGGAAAAAAAAGGCAAGCCTGGGATCCCAGTTAAGACTGGTGCTCCAAGGCTTCTTCATTTTGTCTCACTGCATTAGTTAGTCTAACAAAACATTTCACTTTGCTTCATTAACTTTGGTTCACCCAAACATTGCAATTACAAGGAAGCTGTAGCTGCCTGGTTTGTGGAACTACAGAGGCATTTTCACAGATTACCAGATGCAACTTGGAGATGTGAGAAATAGATGGCAAGAGCTCACAATAATGCTATAGCTGCTTAACAGTGTATTCCTGAATATAGACTATTATATTCCCAACCACATACACCTTTCAGTAGTTTTGCAGAGCAAAATGTGGTCTGCAGTGTTGATGATTACTGTGTTTATTTAAACACTGTCTCTCAAGGAAAATGTTCCTTTTAACTGATCCTACTGCTGAAACCCTACTGGTTCACGATAGCTTGTTGCCATGGATGGGTAATGATGTCACACATTGTGCCCAGTGTCCATGCCAGAAAATAAATGAGAATGACTTTTTTAATTACTCAGGAATTACTTAACAATTCCCTGGAAGGCCTGAAGTGAATTACAAGGAAGAAAACAAGATGCCCCGTTGACCCTACCTGCACAGTATCTTTATGCCGGTGAAGAGACGCAGTAAAACACCAGAGTAAATTCTCTGCAGGCTTGAAAACAAGCTTCTATTACTGAAATTCACTTTGTTACTCAACAGATATCAGCCTGTTGAAGATGAGCAGATGGCTTGGTGAAGTGTGGCTTTAGGGCTCACAAATGAACACCTTTGTAACTATAGTTTCTGGAAGAGGGAGCTCGTGTCTTTTGCTCCATCGGTGACACTGACAGGAAAACAGTCCCGAGTAGGGTACAGACATCACTGCACCAGGTAGTAAATGCCACGCTACTGCTTCTCTCACAGCCCTTCTCAAATGTGGTTAGAACTGGCCTTTTGAGGTCGGCATCTGGAAGGCGCAGAACAAGAGGAAATCTCTTGTAAATATATCAGGAAGGCTGCAGGAACACCAGCCCTGTCTCTGCTCCCCAAACCTCGGCTTCTGCTTCCTCCTCCCCTCCACGCCGGCGGTGTTTGGGACGCGGGAGCTTTCCCCGCTCCGAGGTGAGCCCATCCCCAAGCTGCTCGGGATCCCCGTGTCGGTCGGTGTTTTTGCCAGCTCGTCCCTGGCCGTGAGGCAGCGCTGGCACGCCCGATCGCCCGGGGCTCCGCACACGCCTGCGGGGCTG